TGATGTAGTAGGTAGGTAGGTTGACGGCTATCAGTGAAAAAAGTTCCAGCCTCATGATATTGGTGCTTTCTGACAGTGAGATAGGGCTTCTGCCTCCCTAAACTAACAGAGAACTCCATCTTGTGATGGGGAGGGTCAAGGGAAAGGCAAAATGAAGCTTGTGGTGGCAAAGCCTTACAGGGATTTTTCCTGGGGTGGAGGAACAGCAGCAGAGAGGTGGTTAGTTGTTAGCATCCCTCCGACGTGCATTTTGGAACACTATGCATGCATCAGTTAGCAAAAACTAGCACATCCTGGTTTTGCCTGGTATGGCACTTCTGGGGTGCAGCCTGCCAAATCCCACCGGTGGGATGTCAAGGACCTCATGGAATTTGCTCTGTAACATCATGAAGACAGTGCTTATGTAATTGAAGGCAGCGGTCAGTCTGTATGTCATGTATAACAGCCTGGGCTCCCACCATGAGACCAAACATTTTTCCATATGTAAAGTATACCAGTTTCTCAGGGGCCCCAGAAACATGTGATTTTCATAGCAAATAAGCCTGAGCAGAGGCAGGCAGCACAAAAAGTACATATTTTAAAAAAAGGGGAGCTATTGATTATTATCTGTACATGATATTACAGTCTGCTCGCAAGAGCAATCTGGCTTACTTTCTGTATGCATAATTCCCTGTACTCGTCACATAAATTGCAAGTTAATAGGAGCTGCTCTTTGCCATTGGCCGTATAGTCATTACACCTAAATTATACTAAAAGATTCATATACATAGAATTTAGTATGCAGAGTCATGTAATAAAAGAACGTTAATGTTTTTAAAGAGCTAGTCAGCCTTTAAACTCCCTAACTCCCAAAAGTTAGGGGGTGCCAAAATTAGGAGAGTAACTTGAATTTAGCTCATTTGTGAGTACAATTAATAACACCATACCTAATGACACAGTCACATCCGTTTCCCACACCATTCCTGCCTCATTTTGTCTGTAGGATGGACAGACCTCTCTGAGGGGCAAACTAATCAAATATTCCACTTTCTGTAAGTTCAAGCCTTATTTACACATTATTATCACAATTATTCTCTGTTCTATTGAATTATTAATTTCCTCTTGAGATTTACTACGATGATCTATTGGCAATATTATCACTGTTTACCAACATCAATTAATGTATCCCTACAGCTCTGTTTTGAGGTTACTCTTCCCTCAATTTTATGGCTAGGGTCCTGAGCCAGAGAGACATCAAGAATGGATGTTAAACCCAGACTTACCAAGTATTGCCTAAATTTGGGTGCCCAATTTTAGCTCAGAGCCTGATTTTTTCCATGTGTTCAAATCACAGCTAGCAATTTTATGTGCAGCTGGGAATGTTCAGCCCTTTTCTAATTTAGACCCAGATGTCTCCCGTTGGGCCACAAGAAAATTAAAAATGACAGAGGCAGGGATAGCATCAGTTTCTCCAGGGCAGCATTCAACTGCCTGCAGTCCCCTGTCTCATTTGCTGCACATTTTATAACTTCCGGAGCTAGAAGCAGCAGACTCACTGACAACAGCTGTACCGGCTACATGACCCTGAAACTCTCTTTAATGATATGATTGCATATAATTTTTCTGCAGTTATTTCTGCTTATTTGGTGCAGAGAGAGAATGATCTTCAGAAAAATACCATAATGCGAATAGACCAAGTTGCATCATCAACCTCCATTCTAGCACTTCCCAACTATTGAGAGACTGCCTTTGCAAGCTCTGCTTTCTTTTACTGCATGCTACCTAAGCATTCTCTAGTACATCAAAGTGCTAACATCCTAGGAGCATCTCAATGCAAATTACTGAAATTATTTCTTAAGAAAAGGCGTTTTTATTTTTCTTTCCTTTTCAGTGTTATGCTCTGGAGAGGAATGGTCTTGTAGTGAAAGCCTAAGGCAAGGAAATAGGAAATTTAGTTGCAAAATTGGTTCTGCCATAGACTTTCCTAGTGACCTTGGGCATTTCTTATCCTTGCTGTCATTCCCTTTCATCATCTTGAGGTTGGGACTAACACAAGGTCTGCTTCACCACAGTTTCATGGAGCTCAACTCATTATTCCTGGAAAAGGGTCAGATTCTCAGGTGGAATGTGCTATGGAATTGTGAAGTATTGTGCAATAGCATGTTGCAGTAGAACTGTCAAACACAAAGTGGTGTTATGAAATAATACTACTAATAATAATGGCATAATTGTATCAGGAGATAAGCCTTTATAAATTGTTAACTTGCTGTACAAGATATCCTTATTAATATCACTATTTCTCCTTACCCTCGCTATGATGATTAGGTACCAAGGCTCTGATGGTTAGTATAAAATGTCTGACATCACTGCCTGGCTTCGGAGCTGTATTTACGCAGACCACCAAGTAAATGTATAGTGCTTGCCTTTAACTCTGATGACTCGGACTCCAAACAGAATTTCACTGCAGTTTTTATGTATTTAATATCCTGCTTCTGGCAAATTCTTTGTCTTTTCCATTTACTGCTACAGCTTTAGCTTTATCAGCTTCATAGGAGTCTTGGCTACAAGGAGCCTGGCCCGGCATACTTCATTTTTCCATGAGACTGTAAATTAAGCTGATAAATGTAGCTATGTGATTGCCACCTGAGACACTTTTGTAAGGACACTCACATGGCTTTCTGAATATGGTTAAGCAGCAGAAAATGCAGCAGAAAATAAAGAATATTTAAACAGCATTGAAATCAAGCTAAATGAAACATTTCAGAATTATCCTTGGGGATTACTACCAAATGTGAATATTTCTAATGAGGCTCTCCATGGAATGCTTTCTGTGACCTGTAAGAGATCTGTAACACTCCTGATCTGCAGAGGACAAGGATGAGCAATGATGAGGACTGGACTATCATACACACTGATCTGAACAATTTTATTAACCACACCAAAACTTATATTAATGTAGCCCAAAGCAGTCTTATATATCTGGGAACAATGTACTCAAACTGTGTCTGTATTAAAGGAGGTATGTTCAGAAGAGGGTTTAAGGCCTCCAACAAGTAGCTCACAGTGAGAACCCAGCACCACACACAATATGCATAGATGGCGTTGCAACAGCATGAGTGTAGGAAGATAATGCTGTAGGTGGAGCTGGTGAGGTGGATATTGAAACGCCTCATCACAGAGTCCTTTGTACACATCTTTAGCAAACAGGGCAGTGCAGAAGAAAGACACAGTGCAGGCAAAAGGCACAGAAACAAGATAATTTCTTGTTTCTTGTTTGACAAAGTGCCAGAAATTGTGGTTGTTACTTGGGATAGTTAAAGACTTTAGAATTTTAAAAATACTAAATAATTAAATTGCAGTCTATCAGCATCCTTCTGGAGAAAATACGTTAGGTAGGATAAGTCTCTTCAGATTGAGAAGGAATCTTATAAAATATCAATGCCTGGAATGTTAAACTGGGCAGGTTTAGTAGGATAAAGGTCAGATATTTTTTTTTTAGCGGGGAGGTAACTAATCATGGGATCATGTCAGCATCAAGGATAGGTGGTTTTTTGTGTCCTTTCGGATTCACAGCTTGGACGCCATCTGGAGGATAGGCAGTAGTCCAACGCAATATCAATATCAATGACATATAGGACGACTTAATGATCCCTTTTGGCCTGATACTCAAGGAACTGAAGTTCACGGGACTTCTGCCATTGACTTTAACGAAGGCAGGGTTTCATCTTCTGTTCCCAAGGCTTTAATAATGGAAAAGGTATTAATTACGTCTGCTCAAATGAATGGAGGCAGAGTGATGTGCCATACCGTGGAGGAAAGCTGCCAACAGAAAGCAGCAATGGTGCAAGTTGAAACCAACTTTCTTTTTTTTTTAATGAGTATTTTCTGTATTTCAGCTGCATAGTCTCTTGAAGCACATCTGTGTGGTCAGTTCTAATTATAGAACACTTCTGGGACGTAACCCTGTGTACAGCGGGAACCAGGGCTGCATCACAGGCTTTGGAAAGCAGCAGATGAGAGGGGAGATCCTAGTGGTCCAGATTTTGCTGGAAGAATGGATGCAATTTTGGTAATTGAAGGCAAGAGAAGCTGTCAAAGATAGGGCAAATTGAAGGTCATCTGCATTCTCAGTGAAGGAAAGCAGGAGTAACAGCAGTGGATAATTGTGGGCTTTGGAGATGACTACATCTCTGTCAATGAGCCAAGAGAAAAGATAGATTCTTCTGCTTCAGCGAGGTTGACTATCACTTCAACTTCAGAGTGGCTTATTTGTATAGCTGCATTTAGATGTCTTGCCAGAAGTGAGGCTGCTGGCTATGTACTAGTTTATTTTAATAAACGCATGTTCGAATGTTACAAATCTACAAATGTTTCTTTCCTTTCTCTGTCTGCAGCATACCCTGCACATAAAGGGCTGATCAGTTATTTAATCCTTTCCATGTTAAAAAAAACTAGAACATTTTCCATGCTAAATAATATTTGGGGTTTAAGGGTCAAGTACAGCAAACACTCCGATAATACTGCAGATACTGAAAGCGTGCTTTAGATTTTCCTGTTTTCATTTAGATTTGCATTTTAAGTCACCAGATCATGAAATGCAAGAGGTCCCTCTAAGGTATGATCATGATCCAGGAAACTATAAGCATATATCCAAGATGAATGCAAATGTACAGGCAAAACTGCAAATGTACAATTGATCAGAAAGTCCTCTAAAAAGATTTCGACATAAAATGTTTCTATTCTTTTCTATCTTATTCTATTATTAGTATATTATTTTTTTTTTGATGACACAGTGAAGCTATCAGAATAGTTAAGCAATAATGATGAATTTTATGCTTTAGCCAGTTCCTCCTGTGAGCATGGAAAGAAAACTCTTGAATGAGTGGGTTCTAGGTTATCAACGCTCCCTGCTATGTGCCCTTATTTCATTCAGACAACCCTTAAATTACAAACTGTGTTTGCAATAACCTCATCCTAGAACAAAGATTAAATGAATACTCCTCTGCCCCAGCCATCCAAGTACAGAGCTTGGTCCTCTTGCTGCCTCTCAGGAGACAGAAGTCTTTAGGATCTGGTCCACTGTTTGGCTTCTGCTCAGGGGTGATGGATGCTGCGGCCTGTCTGGTGCAGCTGAACAGAGACAGAGCTTGGGAAGACATGACATCCAACTTAAATCACTGCACTATGGCAAAGTGAAAAATCCTCCTCCATCCTCATGTGGGCCTATTGTGTGAAAAAGGTCAAAAGAAAGGCGGATTGCATTAAAAGCAATATTGTGAAAGAGCTGACAGATGTTATGCCATTGTATGATCTGCTGTGAGTCTCTGCTGGGGCTACCAATCACAGATTGGAACACTCTTGTGTAAAAGAGACAAATTCTAAACTCCTTATCAATGGCTAGGCTAAAATGTTCCTCATCTAACCATCTGATTGCAGGAATGTAGATGTCAGGCCATAAATACAGAAAATAAGTTTTAAAACATACACTGCAAAGATTTTGGACCTGTTTATAATATAGTGACCAGTCTAAAACAAAATGGTATGAATATGCTGAGATCCAAATGGCAAGGAAGACAACACAGCATTCATATAATTGCATTCAGTTTCACATTTCGTTTGCATAAGATTGCAAATTACGATTAGACCCAGGATGTATGAATTCGGCATTGATTTTTCTGACATGACCTATGATCTAAAGGATTCTGTTAGTCTCAGTGCTTCTTCAAGTCTTTATTCAAGCCAAAAAAAGGCTTTTCTTCCTGCTGAAATAAATGCACTTCTAAGGGCCAGGCATTATAATGCTATTGTCTGAAGATCTTACCCATTATTTCAGGTGTAGTTTGCTGAAGCTGGCCACAATATTTACTACCTTTAAAGTAATTGCACTTGTAAAGCTTAAAGCATCATTTCTCTAACTATACTGATCAGTTTGATTTTCCAAAGCCAGATGCCTCTACAAGGCTTCTATACACCATATTCAAAGTGCGAACAATGCCAGGTCCATCATATCAACCTCAGTGACTGAAATACAGAAAATATCTGTATTTCTAAAGTTCATTGTACCTTGTTTTCCTCTCTTGTTTTTAACTTTTCTGTCAGGAGGGAAGAGAATGACAGCATGTCACAGAAGTCTGCCAGGTCCAGCCTTACTTCTGCTTCTAGCCTAAATTGGAAAATAAGAGGATAACTGAGTAAAAGATCTCTTAGTAAATTGCTATGATCACTATACTATTAGGTGATATTTTTACTCTCACTGACCAAATTCAGACATTTTCAACAGTGCCACATATCCAACTCTATTTCTTGTACTTCTGATATTGCAAAAGCCACCAAAATTCTTTATTAGTGCTGCTGCAATGTTACACCTACTCACCTCGAGAAAAAAAGGTCCCGATACTACGTTTTTGTCATTTCACAGCTTCATCGTGTTAAACTCTCTTTCAGTGATCCTGCACCCATTATTGGTATATTCGTGTACCTCAGGGACACACATTTGTTTGTCCCTTCTTTTTTCCGTACTCCCCAGCTACATTTATTGATTTCCATTATATATATCTCCTAAAGAGTTTAGATAAGTAGCATTAGTTCCCGTGGTTCCTACAGGTGTTGGAATACTTGAAAGTAATACCTCTTTCTAGGTATTGTCGTTTTCTAAAATCCAACATGGTAATTTACAGCCTATTAGCAAAGTAAATGTGCAAATAGTGAGGGGCTTTCAAATTCTCAAACTTCAAACACCTGACTAAAATTCTGGATCACGGGTAGTCTACAGCAATTTTATTACCAGTGTGAAACAGCTGATCTTAGTCAAAATATGGGAATGCATCTCCCACCTCCTTTCTCTGGCTCACACAGACAACTTGAGGGTATGCAACACCTTCTTCACTCAGGTATTACATCAGAAACCTCACTGATGTTGTCGGGAGATGTGCTGCATGAGTAAACATCAGATGATTGAGACTATAATATGGATCTGTAGCCAATTTTTTAGTCATTTGGCCATTTAAATAATCAGTTAAAATATCCTTCTTTTAAATTCAGTGGAAATTCCCATAATCTAAACTGACTAACTGGCATTGCAGCCGTTAATTATGTCAGCAGAATTATTGGTGCAATAATATGAGTAACTGCAGGAAATTCTGAGGTCTGTCTTATACAGAGACTGCACCAGCTGGTCGCATGTTGTCAAGCAGCTCTTGAAAAGACAGCAGTACAGTCGGTGGGATTCAGCTCCAGATCAACACACATGAATTCAAGTGCCTGCCGCTGCCCACACACCACCCAAGTATCATAGGATAGTTAGGGTTGGAAAGGACCTTAAGATCACCAAGTTCCAACTCCTCTGCCATGGGTAGGGACACCTCACATTAAACCATGTCACCCAAGAAAACAAAATCCAGAAACTTTTGAACATCCTTTGGGTGTATTGCTGGGCCACCACCTCCTGCTGCAAAAGGGTTTGGGTCTTCTCCAGGTCCCACTGTCACATGTGGCAGCTCTGTGTGGGTGAGTGAGATAGACAAGGATATCTTGAATGGTACAACATGCCTGTGCATTGGCGCTGCATCCCACTCATGCTCTCTCTCAGTGATGGCAGGAATTTGTATGTTTGGCCCACATGTAGACCTAGGTATGCAGACATCTACATGCAGGTGTTTGCATCCTTCCCTGTGTAGAAGAGAGACTAATTTCAAGAGACTGTTTAGGGTTTGTCCTAGCCTTGGCATGCCCTACACTTCTCCAGGGATATGTTAGGAGGCCTCACAGCTCTCCACAAATGAAGAGTCAGACAGTGGGACCGAACCAAGAGAGAAGAGAGAGGAGACACAGACCTCTGCCTCAGGACAGGGAAGCTCTCCAGGCAGTGCTGGGTTTGTGCACATGCCCTTGCTGGTGCCCCTGGCTGCCCCCCACAGAGGAGCTGCTGCTGGGGATGGAGTTGGTGGGCAATGCTGCCAACACTCTTTTCCAAGAGGCAGGCACAGAGACAAGCTGCAGCACAGACTGGGATGGGCAGTGCTTCCAAGGCCTCTGCTTTCCCATTCAGTGGTTTTTATATGACAGCTGTCTTTGCAAAGCCATGGGCATGGCCAGACAGCATCCTGCAAAACAATACAATGAACTCTGGCCATGGCATTGACTGCTTCCTGTCCTTGAGGATTCACAGGAGGAAGAAGGGGATGACACAGTAACTGACATCTGTAATGAATACATCATTCTTGTAGAATAACAGATGCTGTACCTTCTCTGCCACTGCTTTCTTTTCTCCAGAAAGGTTTCCTAACTCCACACCCCAAATTAATATATTGTGCTTTGGCTACAAAGCCTAATCTGAAAAGTGTCTAGAAACACCAGAAGCTGCCAGAAGCACTTAGGAGCTCACTGGTAGTGTCCAACAGCTGACAGAGAAGTGGAACATGAATATCCGTAGGTGTATATAGAAGCATTGTGTATGAGTGTAGTTGCTGATCTCATTAAAACACATCTGCATGCTCGCCTTCCTAAAATGATTCTGAGATGTGTGAACGAGTATCTGGCCGTAGATGGCACCAAACAACCACGAGCGGAGCAATCACTTCTTGCTGCTGGAGCAGCCCAGCTGAGGTTGCTGGCTTGTGGCTGCACCCTGAGGAAGCTCCAGCAAACAGACTCTCTGCCATGAGATGCTAGTAGTTTCACAGCTTCTTCCAAGACACGATACTGTATATCTCCCCAAAGCCAAACAGCCTTTCTGACCTTTGCAACTATTTTGTCCTGTTTAATTCTTCCCTGGTGGTTTTTTATTTATTTCTTTTTTAATATAGCAGCACAAAAAAAAAGCCCTACCATAGTCATAGATGTAATACATTGGTGTTTAGAAAGAGCATGGGAAGGGAACATTGATGCTTTGAAGACCTAGTAGTCTAGATAGGCTGTTGCTTAGGGCTGTCTGTCATGAAGCCTAAATTTTGCTTTTTCAGGAAATTAAGTGATCTTCTTCGTAAACTGCTGAAGCTCTCTCAAAATCTAATTATTGGGTTTTATTCCCACAACAGTTAGCAGGCTAGTGTTTTCCTCCTGTGTCCCTCTGAAGCCTAGGAAGGTTTTCATTTCCAAACTAGATTAACTTGTGGACATATTATCCTTTTTCATTACTGCACCAACACCATGTTTTAGCTTAAATAGCTCTTCTCCCTAGATGGTATTTCCTGCTCAACAGAGCTTCCCGTCAGGCCCATTAGACTGTGTGACTCCTAGCCACATGATCACAGGCTTGGGAGGAAGATGAATTCTTTTAGCCTTCACCTCCCTATCCTGAGGATATGCCCAGAGGTTTTGCCTCCTTGGCTCCCAAGAAAATGCCCAGCTGCCATTGAGGCTAGAGCTTCACAGACCAGGTTTATAAAGACATCCGCATGCTTTGGGCCATCTGGAGGGGATGAACCAGGTAAAATTAAGGGAAAGATGAGTAAGGAGTAAACAGGCAAGGGAAGAAGTCACAACTTAAAAATAAGGGGTAATGGGCACAAGCTACTCCTGGGGAGATTCTGGCTAGACACAAGAGGAAGATTTTCCATAACGAGAACAGTGAGCTACTGGTGTAACGTCCTCAAGGAAGTGGTGGATTTCCCAGTGTTTGATACTTGTAAGATTCAGCTGGACAGGGTGCTGGGACACTTAGCGCAGGTCATGCTTGCCTGGAAAGGTTGGTCCAGATGATCCCTGAGGTTCCTTCCAACCAGGAATTCTATGACTGAAGTGAATGGATGGGATCTCTGGAGAAGGTTGAGCAGTGATGCAGATGTTTGGGGGCTGACTGTGTCTCTTGACTAGCTTTGGAGGCTTCTGTCATTGCCTGTTATGAGCATACCAGGGGGGCTAGAAAACAGGCATTGCGGACCACATGTGAGGTCAAGGTCCCTCTCACTTCACACTGTTACCTCTTGTCCTGGAGTCTTGCCATTAGAGTCATTAGTCTCCTCCAGCTTCTTTGCCACATGCACCCAGGATCTGCTGGTGTCCCACAGCTGTGTGCACATGAATGCACACCCATTCCCCAAACTTAGCCATTGAACTGGATCCCAGTGGTAATCCTCCAGCATTTCTCAGAGTACCCTCATTCATATAATTTGCTTGCCTTCAAGCACAATGTGCTTACTCTCCATACCTTCTCTTTCCCTACTCCTTTGTTATGACCACCTTGAATTTCCCCCTGCTGCAGCTTCTCTGTGTGGTAGAGCCAATATTTTTACACTTTGGAGAGAGCTTATTAAATGCATTGCAGAGGTCTTCTCAGGCTTCTCGCTGAAACAGATCATTTATCTTGAAAGGGGAAACTGAGACTGAGTAAGATTAAACAGCAACCTTGTGTACTGACTGCACTGAAGGTTCATTTGCTGTACTTACCCGGAGGTGGGCAATTTGTCCCCAACCATAGCTACTGTACTTTGGTCCAGCTCTACTACTCTTTATGCAAACTTCAATGCACACATGGAAGGTTTGTGTGCCTCCACTTCAGAATAGGAGCTAGAAAGTTTACATGTTGCTGAGTCTGAATGTCTGCTTTCATAATCATCAATTTGGATGTGCAATATTACATCTGAGAGGACTCTTTTCATTACATTTCTATTTCATTTTAGTCAATGAATATTGACTGATACTGAGAGATTGCTTCTGGGACTAATAAGGGGAAAGTATGACATGGATATGAAAACAGGATGGACAAATTTATTTTGCAAATACAAATTTGGATTTTCAAGACTTTATTCAGCACAGGTTTCTCATTACATATATAATAGAAGCTCCAGAAATCAAAGATTGCCTTGTATATTCTGTAGCACACTTTAGCTATGAAATCAATAATAATTCTGTTGCGAGTTTTTCCTCAGTAAAGATTGAACACAAAATGCAGAACTAGAATATAAAGAAGGCTCAATTGGCTCAGCCCAAAAGTTCATATAGGATCTTCATCCTAGGAGGCAAAAGGACATGGGAAACATAAAGGGATACTGCTTTACATCTGCAGCTTTCAGGAGTCTGGCTCTTGTTCTGGTTCATGTTCTGCTCATGCTCAACTCATCTCAACATTGTAGTAAAATGCACTTTGAGAAGTTGCATCTTGTTAAATAAGTGAGTGTTAGCAACGTTTGTTGCTTAGACCTTTCATGTCCTTGTTTCTTTACTTCTGACCATGTTGTGGTGGCAAAGCTAATGTAGTCCCATGGCTTGTGACTAACTAACATTTATTTGATCAGATGCATATATTATATGTCAACTATATAAACTGGTATCCAAGCCCAGATATCACTTATCACAATGTAAATTATCCTTAGGATCTCTCTTCTAATATATTTGCTAGTGATCATACATGATTACTGTGATACATCTAAATAACAGCTATATCCCATGTTCAGTAGTATTCTGTAAGTTGTATTACTATATTTTCTTCTTTAAAGTACATTTCACCATTGCTGTCTGTCAGAACAAAATGCT